GGCTGTTAGACTCCGGTAGTAGCAGCACAATAATCGGCAAACCAGGGTTGAATATACTACTAAAATTAGGCTTCTCAGTTAATCCGAAACAATCCGTCAAATGCGTGGTGGCCAACGGACAATCATGTATGTCGGTGGGAGAAATTATTGTCCCAATCTGTGTAATGGGAAGGGTTAAACTTATAAATATTTTAGTGGTGCCCGATTTGTGCACTACGCTCATCTTAGGTATGGACTTTTGGGTTGCAATGGACATTGTACCTGATTTAAAAAGGAACGAGTGGCACTTTGGCGAGCCTTCTCATATTGCAGTTTCTGGGATTGACAGTCAGGACACTTTAACAATATACCAAAGATCTCGGTTGGAAGAGTTACTTAATGTAAAGTTCAGAGTAATGGGAGAAGGGTTGGGGTATACGGAGCAAATAGAACATGAAATCGTTTTGTTACCTGACACTAGTCCCATTAAACAGCGGTACTACCCCGTTTCACCATTTAAGCAAACGATCCTCGATGCGGAGATCACAAAAATGATTAACATGGGGGTAATTGAACCGTCAAAGAGTGCTTGGTCGTCTCCCGTTTTATTAGTTCCCAAGTCAGGAGAGAAAGAGTACCGTTTTTGCGTAGATTTTAGGGCCTTAAACCGAGTAACAAAAAAAGATGCTTACCCCCTACCGTATATCACCGCAATTTTAGATCGGCTTCGCGGTGCCAAATTTTTAAGCACAATGGACATCAAATCTGCCTATTGGCAAATTCCCATGAAAGTGTCTAGTAGGGAATATACGGCCTTTACTGTTCCCGGCAGAGGGCTTTACCATTTCAAACGCATGCCTTTTGGGCTAACAAACGCCCCTGCTTGTTGGCAAAGATTAATAGATCAGGTTCTTGGAGTTGATTTAGAGCCCTATGTCCATGTTTATCTAGATGATATTATTATTATATCGCCAGACTTTAAGACCCACCTAGAGATATTAACACAAGTTTTTGATCGGTTAATTGCCGCAGGCCTAACAGTTAGTTCTGAAAAGTGCCATTTCTGCAGACCATCTTTGAAATACTTGGGGTACATCGTCGATTCGGAAGGACTTAGGGTAGACTTAGAGAAGGTAGAAGCCATTTTAAATGTACAGCCGCCAGTTAATCTCGCAGAGCTACGTCGGTTTCTTGGGATATGTAGCTGGTATAGGCGGTTTATTGAAAATTTTTCTGACAAAACAGAACCGTTAACTAACCTAACAAAAAAAAATGTTCCGTTTTCGTGGAGTGAGAGTTGTCAAAAAGCTTTTACGGAAATAAAACAATGTTTGATCTCTGCCCCTATATTGTGTTGTCCCAACTTTAATTTGCCTTTCGTCTTACAGACAGACGCTTCTGCGTACGGCATTGGGGCTGTGCTTACCCAAAATTTTGGCGATGAAGGGGAAAAAGTAATTTGTTTTATTTCTCGATCTCTCACGAAACAAGAGAGAAATTTTTCGACTACTGAACGAGAATGTTTAAGTGTTATTTGGGCAGTTGAAAAATTACGCCAATATCTTGAAGGAACTGTGTTCACTGTGATAACAGACCATGCCTCATTAATATGGTTAAATAACCTAAAAGACCCTTCGGGACGCCTGGCGAGGTGGGCCCTTCGTTTACAAGCGTATGATTTTAAAATTATACATCGGAAAGGTAAAGAAAATACCGTGCCCGACTTTCTTTCTCGATCTGTCCCTATTTCATCAATTCAATTAGAAAATTTTTCGAACAATACTACAGATCAATGGTACTTAGGGTTAAAACAAAAAATTAACGACCACCCGGGAAAATTTCCACAATGGAAATATGAAAATAATTTGGTTTATAAATATGTTAACTGTAAAATTCCTGAGTTATCTAACGAATCTGACTATTGGAAAATATTAGTACCAAAAGACCACCGTAAACCGTTACTTCAGGAATACCACGATGACCCTCGCGCTGGTCATGTTGGAATACATAAGGTGTATACAAAAATAAAAAATCGTTTTACGTGGCCAAAAATGAAAGCAGATATTATGAAATATATTCGTCAATGTCAAGTCTGTGCCGCTCACAAACCTGAACAGGCACCTCCTGCAGGTCTCATGGGAACTCGCCAACCTATTAGTTACCCATGGCAATTGCTAAGTATAGATTTTATGGGGCCATTACCTAGGTCACGAAATGGGAATACTCAGTTGCTGGTAGTCAGTGATTATTATAGCAAATTTGTTTTACTTTTCCCACTTAGATCTGCTACGGCAAAAGCTCTCACTCGGGTTTTAGAGGAAAACGTGTTCCTCCTGTTTGGCGCGCCCCAATACGTAATCTGTGATAACGGCGTTCAAATGCGCAGCAAGGAATTTGAAAAGCTTTGCAAGAAATATAGTGTCAAAATTTCCTATACACCCCTCTATTACCCTAGAGCAGATCCATGTGAGCGCGTTAATCGGGTTGTTAAGACAATGATTTCCAGCTACGTCAAAGACGATCATAGAAAATGGGATGAAAATATCTCCGCGATCGCATGTGCCATACGTACCGCTTCTAGTGAAGCGACTGGCTATAGCCCGTACTTCATAAATTTTGGTCGAGAATACGTGTTAAGTGGAGAAGAATTTTCTAGGCGTGCGGTCCGGGAAAACAAATCAATTACATACGACCAAACAATGCATCGACGAATGTTAGGTTTTCAAAAACTTTATGAAGATGTTTCCAATAATATTAAAAAATCACAAGAACGCCATAAACACACATACAATCTACGGCGTAGAGCAGTCGAATACAAAATTGGAGATCAAGTTTGGAGAAAAAATAAAGTACAGTCTAACGCTTTAAATTATGTGAACGCTAAGTTATCCCCAAAATTTGTAGGACCCTTTACGGTTTCTAAAAAGTTAGGATATTGTACATATGAGCTTACCGACTCGTCGGGTACTAGTAAAGGACGATGGCATGTGCAAGACTTAAAGCCATACAATGCTCCTGATTTAGACGTTGAATAAAACTATGAAAAAAATGTTTTTATAAGTTTTCCTGTATGTTTTGGGGTAAATATTTCAATTTTGTTTTTTTAGTTTAAGAAAAAAAAATTGAACCTTTGAAAGGGGGGGAGGAGTGTAACGGTCCAAAATGGTTAGTAACTAAATAAGCATTACTCTTTAACCCAACAATGCCCATTTTATGGCCCGCCTATGTTCGCTTACAACGATTTTGCATGTACGCTGATAGAGAGAACAATTTTGATAAATGTACGTAGTTGCGTACGTGAATTCCTTGAAGTCAAACTGATTAATAAATCATTGCCGAAAATTTTGGGATCATTTCAGTGACTTCTGTACCAATTAAAGTAATTACCGAGTTTGATTGTTACTTTAATATTCCTTTTTGGGATTATTTGGAATCACGTTACCAACACAATCATGCAAAACTGTTTAGGCGAACCAATTCATCACACATAAATAGGTTCCTAATAATCTTTGAGTGGAAACCCTCAAGATCGCCGAGGGTTCTTTTTCTGGACTCACTCAATTTAACTAAGACGCAGACGTCACGTCATTAGTTTGGGGCGTAATTAGAGCGCCGTTCTCGTCAAACGCCAGTTAAATGCCCATAGCCGTTGCAGAACCTCTACCACCCAGATAAGATATCTGTTTGTGCCGTCCCCTTTGTTTACCAAGAAGATTTAATGTGATTTCCACCTGTTACCTACTTAATTGTTACCTATGTAGAAAAGTTGTGTTTTACGTTAAAGGAAAGGAATTTGGTGTAACCCTGATATGATCATATCTTGGAATTTACGTTCTCATGAGCCATTTGGTTACGATAATTTTTTTGCCTGATTTTGTTATTAAGTTTCCTTTCAAAGTATTTTCGTTTATTGTAATAAAGAAAGTCTATTAGAGCTAGCTGGCAGGTTGCTTACTGTCGCTCACTGAAATCGAGATATGAGAAATCTATTTATTTAATGCCCTCCTTGATCTACAGATCCTACGTCCCTGAGGCAACAATAAAAAAAATACGTGGCACACCCTGTACAAACATTTTTAAAGAGCACTTTTTTGGACTACTGGGACCTTGAAACGTAAAGATTGAGTGAAATTCCAACATCGAAATTTGGAGTGGTTTCAATAATCTCCCAATTTCTTATTGGTCAGGATAAAAAGAATAAAATTATTTCGTGCAATAATGGGCGAGTTGCAATGTGTTTACTTTTCTGATAATTACTCCAAAATGAAATTCGAATTATTTATTTTTATTTATTTGCCTTTATTTTTGAGTGGGCGGGGTTTCAGCCAAGGCTGCTCTACCCAGACCCACCCAACCCACTATACATTTACAAATATCCCTTAGCACCGCAGTCCAGTTTCAATTGGTGCCCCACGCGGGCGGGCTAATAGTAGCTTCACCAAGAATTGTTTTACCTGATAGGCTGATACCCAAAAATCACGCGTTTATCGTACTTTTTTTAAAATAAAATTGAATACCGTGTATGTCCTTACACTCGTAGTAAAAAAATTCAAATTTATGTATTATAACATTATATCAACTGCTATTACGAATTTGATTACAATCGGTCTCGCCGAATTTGAGAAGTTATACTTCCATAATAGGTACCTAAATACAGGGATAATCTTTGATAGATGTCAACAACCATTTTAGTGATTTCTGGAATTAGAACATTGATGCGCCTTTGAAATTGGTAGGTATAATTAGGAGAACCCCGTAATTATCTTACGTGTATATGTACTCATTTTCGTATTTATTAACAATTAAATTTACTCTTTGTTCTACTGTTTTCCGAGAATTCTTGTTATTAGAACTAATGGAAGGAATACCCAATCGATGTATGATGTATCTCTAAACATTTTATTAATCTGTTTTCTAGCATATGTATGGATGTATGGTAAATTTGACGGAATTTTTAATAGTGCTCATTAGATTTGGTCGAATATAGCTACATTTTGTTGGAACAGTGTAAAAGACAATTGCAACTGCAATGCGTGGGCGTATCTTAATAAACGTTATTAAAAACGCAATACAATCAACATCTACCTGTATCTGCACCAGACACCTCTCGCAGCAAGCGAAATTAATCAAGTATCATTTTAATGCGTTATTGCCGAATGGAATTAATCTGGCGGGTACGTAGATGTTAAGTACGCATGTTGTGCGGGTAATTTGATTTGCATAGGTGGTAATCGGGTAGCGTGGCATGTAATTTGTTTTATATTGTGGTAATGCATCGCACGTGATAATTATAGGCGTATCGATTACATTGTTTTGATTAATATTGCGTTCTCAGGACGTCGTTTTTGTTACCAAAATTAGAAAATGTACGGGATATTTTTCTAAAGAATAGAAATGTCCGCTCTCACTGTATTTTTGAAAAATGCACGATAGTTTTCTTGTTACGCCAAAATGATTCTTTTGATTAGGTATGTACGTAGTCTTTTCACGGTACGCGTCAACTCGCCAAGGGCGACTCGCCACCGGATCACTCGCCACCGACTGACTCGCCAACGGGACAACTCGCCAACGCGACAACTCGCCAACGCGACAACTCGCCAACGGGACAACTCGCCAACGCAACAACTCGCCAACGGGACAACTCGCCAACGGACGACTCGCCACTGCGACAACTCGCCAACGAAATATTTTTCCCTGTTTAATGTGTCGTTCAAATAACGATGTGATGTGTCAAATTTTCTGTTCAAATAATAATTTGCAGAAGATGTCGTTATATCAAAATGCAGTAATAGAAACAGGTATAGGCGGTTGGGTCTTCATTTAAATATTGACCACTATTTTCGATTAACTTTTTTTACAAAATTAGGGAAATTGACTATTGCATTTGTGGGATGCTTTTGTATGACACATTAAACAGGGAAAAATATTTCGTTGGCCAAGTCGTCCGTTGGCGAGTTGTCGCGGTGGCGAGTTGTTCCGTTGGCGAGTTGTCCCGTTGGCTAGTCGGTCGGTGGCGAGTGGTCCGGTTGACCGTGTCCCTCTTTCCACGCGTAACTTCCCATTCAAGGCTGTCTCATGCTCGCAGTAAACTTTGAGTGTGCCCCAGATTTTAATTCGACCATTTAACGATATACATATACATATGCTAATTCTTTTTTGGCTACTACAGCACTTTTAACTTGCTGCATAATTTTCAAATTTTTGTGCGTTTTTACAAATTGATATATGTATTGACAGGGGCGGTTTTTAGGAGGAGGGGGGCGACAGGGGCGATCGGGGATCTAAACATACTGCTCAATTGTTTTTTTATTTCATTAGGTTTACATAATAATCGAATTAAATAAATCTAACCACAAACCACCTGACGGAAAAGTAAAATTGAATAAAATACAAAATAATGCCGGCGGGGGCGAAATCGTGTATTGTCCAGACTGCGACTCATGACTGCTCTCAATACTGATTACCACCGCACTGCTATATAGTTTAATAAAAAAACAGCTGAAATTGGGCCAAAGCTACTTTAAACAAATTCCCGCGCACCTCTGCATCTGCAATTCTGTAGCTTTTTTATTTTCGCCCCCCCCCCCCCCCCCCTGAGTAGATGTATAAAACCGTCCCTGGGTATGGAAAGAAAAACAGACACGCAAAATAATGGGATACTTAATTATGTCTATGCGTCTCCTCAGCTACAGTACTTTTTTATGGTATGACAAACCTGAAATTACACGGACATGAGTAATTACTTTCTAAGGAGAAATGGTCAACTCTTTTTTAAATTTAAATGGTTCAATAATTTGTACTGCAAAAGTAACTTATTTTGGTTTATGTTGAGCTTATAAATTGTGGAAACCTTCTGAGTTCGACTCCCTTACTATGAAATTTAATTGGAATTCACTTTGATCCCACCAAATAAAACCTCTAATAAGACTGATTGCAAACTCAGAAATTTTTTCCGATGAGAATACAAAAAAAACATATATAAACAACAAGTTTTTTCGACAACTTATCGGGTTTATTTTTCCTGTGCTGTGGAGACCTGAATGATCTATAGCTTACGTGGATAGTTCAATACCGTGGGGCACTTAACAAGTGATTGTGGGGATGCATTCTAACCCGGCGGCATGGATACGGTTGACTCTGACTACAACTTTCAGAACAAACGTCCTGGGCGATGATCAATTGGTTTGTACTTTCGGTTGTTGTTCCTATTGGCAATCAATAACCACTCAACGCTATTGGTGAGTACACAATTTTGAGGTTTAAAAATGAGCGACGAGCAGTAACATAACTCACTTTTAAATGTTTGTTCTTGACTTATCTGTTTAGTGTGTGGGAAATTCCTTTCGGAAACTTTTCACCTTGATTAATTATGATAGTAGTGGCAAAAAATAAACTTTTATTTAACTTTGCTGACAATTTTCTCTATTGCAATTTCACTTTATACGGGGAATTAAAGCAAATTTTTTCTATACTCAGTGGCACTACGAAGTGCCCGAAATGTTCGTGGAATTCATTGACCTCACGATGGTTATCAATATGAACAATCAGCCCTGTGATGTATCAGAAACGTCAAATTTAACGTGCATGTTATCTATCAAAAAACGTTATTTTGCGTTATTTAGTATAGGCAAAATAACGTTTTATACAGATAACGTGCACGTTTAGTTTAACGTTAATGATATATCACAGGGCTGAATGTCTTTATTTACATAAAAGCACGATACGATTACCAGAACTCGATACGGGAAGATGTAAATGTTTCTTCGCGTACTATTATATCTCGTTTAATCCATATAGAAAAGGCACCTTTTCTGCGAGCTAACGTGAGCAGATTTTACACGCTCACTTACATTATGGGTAGTGAAAAACGCACTATCGTTATAAGTTATAATAATCCAAATGATAACTCGTAAACTTTTTCACATGGGCAAAATGCTAACCTTCCAAAAAACTATAGAACATGATATGGACACTAGACTGTCGCTTGGAACTAAATATTTTTCTTCTCTTTGAAGATCGGTTAATCCCGAACGTTGGATTTAATTATTGGGCTCTAAAGGCCGTTAAAATGAACACTCTTACTTACCAAAACGCTAAGCTCTCACGTTGACGCTTCGGATGCCAAAACGAGACACTCTCTAGCACCACGGCTCAGACAAAAATCTTCCTAGTTGATTCACCAGATGCGAATGAATTATTTTGTACGAAACTCCTTTCTTTCTACACTAAACTGACTTAAAACTTAAAACGCCTATGACCGAAACCAATGGCGGAGATACTTCGTTAATTTGCATTGGCTCTCCAAATCCAAGGTGGTCTACAAAAAATGCCAAGGCTTTTCTCCTTGTCAAATGTCATACGAACCCAACTCGCAACCTCAGATATGAAACCTTATATTACATCTTTTTATCACGTAAAACGATACATTTGTCGGCTATGGGGCGTCTCTCATAGACTTGACAAAGATGACAAATTAAGCTCGACGGACTCTAACCGACAAAATAGAAACTTGAACGAGACCTAATGAATATATCTGAAACCCTGACTGCATTTAACCTTTAGAATTTATCTTTCCGCATCTTTTAATGAGATGACAACGCAAACAATTTTAACCATAAATGCTTCTAGTAAAGAAAAACATCACATGTAGTAAAATACGCATCGCACATAGTAAAAATCAAATCTAGTAGAAACAAACATATCGCATATAGTATAAATTAGATATGCGCATGTGCAGTCTATGCGCATTTGGCGCAGTATCAATTTCCTTAGTAATGAAAATATTTCTTTGAAATTTTAACCAAAGGTGCTTTTGGTAAAGGAAACATATCGTAAACATCAGATTCATTTTGCGCATGCGCAGGATGCGCCTTATGAACTGTCTTATTTATCGAGATGTTTTTTTGAAATTTTCTTCTTTTGTTAAAGGTTAAAGGGAAACACCAAATATTGTAAACACTATAAACCTCTCGCCAGGAAAGATTGCCGGTCACAGAAGACCTGATCCCGGTCTACAATCTGTGTTTTTCTAAAGATGTGAGCGACTTCCGGGATAGGATCGTGTCAATGTTGAACAAAAAACCTTTCGCATCTTAAAAAAAAACATAGATTATAAATTGACGCAAAGTGTGCTGTGACCGGCAATCTTTCCTGGCGAGAGTTATATGTACGCATGCGCAAGCCTAAGCGCATTCTGCGCAGTGCCAGCTTCCTTATTTATGAAGATATTTTTTTGACCCGTTGGTTATTAGAATTACAAAAAATGACCTGTTCGTTGATATGAATATAATATAATATAGTGGAACTTTCTGGTTGAGTTATGGGGACTGCCAGCAGTGGCTAGGATTGCAATCTCGTTTGCGTATGTCGTTTACATGGTTCCTGCACTTTAGTCCAGTACGAGCGCCCTGGTTTGTCTTGAACATTCTCTCAGTGCCTGAGTACCTAATATTTGATCGTTGAAAGCTTGAGTGATTTCCACAACCTAGGTACATCTTTAAGGCGCAATGCTCTAGTCTAGTAACTTGTGCAAAACTTGCCGTGGAAGTTTCTTGAGCAGCTGCCTTGCAATGACGTCAGTCCGGGTTTTCCTTGGTATTCATGTTTGTCTTGATTGGTGGACCATAATTCGCTGCTTTTATAATTTTTGAGACATAGTTAAAGTCTATGAGGTCATTCTAATGAACTATCTGGCGGATTAATGGCGAAATTAATGTTAGCAAATCTCTAGTTTATGCATTAACTGGCCGTATCTCTGAAAATGGGGCACATGTTTTTATGGGAACTTTTCTGCTTAAAATGAACAAATCTGTAACATATTAAATTACTAAGCATTCCTCATGAAACACCCGGTGTAATAGAAAACTCGGTCAATATCAAAGTTGGGTTTGAAATAATTTTCTTATTTTTATAAATATGAGGAAGTTGATGGGGAAATGGCCGATGGCGAGATGGTGTACGGCGAGATGGCCACAGTGAAATGACGACATTGAAATAACGGCGGCGAAATGGCAATAAAAATATTTCAATATGTATAAAATGCAATACTGCAAATATTATTTAATCTGAAATATAACAAGTGAAATTTTACGCTCTTTTCAAAAACTCTAAAATATAGGTATAGGGTGGTCCATATGAAAAAAAAGTAGTTTAGGGTCGTATAAAAAACAACACCCTGTATAAAAACTGTCTATCGGGTATAAAAAAGTGCTTTAAGAAGATTTTGACCAAATCAATTATCTTTAATAATAAGAAAGATATGGGGCATGTTGCATGTTTTATCAATTTGTTACGTCATATTGAGAACCTATCGGACATATTTTCAATTTTCCAGGAAATTTGTCCTATAGATATTTTCGCACGATTAAGCCGTTGTACAGTAACCAATATTTCTCGAATTTCTATATAGATGTCGCTGCACAAAATTTAATGCGCTCAAGTTCGAATTTCATATTATTGGTACTGTTGCAGTACAATGATATGATAGGAAGGAAGCTGAGCCACCATATTCAATTGAACAATGGAGCTACTCATTCGCTTTAACAATTTTTGCAGCGACATAGAGCATAAATCCATAATCGTAATTTTACAGTTTTAAACGGTACATGTTTATACTGCTGTTCAATAGAGGGCGCTTTTAAGTAAAAGTGTTACCCATTAAATGCATAAGGTTATGTTATGTGTTGTTTGTGTATCTCTGCTCTAACATCATATATTACAAGAGCGACAAAGCTCATCTATTAATGATCACACTGTATTTCGTAACACTATCCTGACATATGTAACTTTATTATGTGTGAATCTAAATTTTGTGTTATAATTCCAGAATCAAATAACGATTTTCATGCGTTGTATCCAACACTCTTTAATGACCTGAAGGATTCGTATGGTTCAGACTACAATGAAGTATTTGAGCGTTTTGATTTCGCCACGAGGTACAACATACTAAATAGAAATTATAGACTATGCTTCCCCATAATAAACGTATACGCATTACTGATACCAGATGGGAGAGACACAACTGAAAATCGTATGTTGGCTCACGTACTGGACTGGTGCATGGAATTTGTACGTAGGTATTACTACCACTGCTTGTAAATTCACAATTTGAATAATTTTAGCTTGCTTCGGGATGTTTATTGCAAGATGACATGGTGGACCAATCTGACACGCGTTGGAGAAAACCGTGTTGGTATCAAATTGACAGCATTGGCAAAACCGCTATGTGTGACACAAAAATGATGGAGATGGCCACTTACATGCTCTTAAAGAAATATTTTTCAAAATTTCCCTACTACAAGCAGATTTTGAATATATTTACGGAAACGTACTTTTTAACAGCATTGGGACAATCGCAAGACATTAACATGTCCGCAAATTATCAAGAACGTCGCAAACTAAGAATCCTAACGCATCACGCTTTCTATTCCCAATACTACTATAAAACTTACTTCTTTACCTGCCGAATGTCAGTATATCTCGGTATGTATGTTACTGGTCGAAATTATTCCGAATATCACGATGTAATCGATAATCTGATTGAACGAATGGCAGACGTGCAACAAGTCCAGGTTCGTAATTGCACGAGCCTTTGGAATTCGAATAATTGTCTTTGTTCTGTTTCAGAATGACGCGTGGGATTGCTTTGGAAGCAGCAAGAAGTACGGTAAAGTGGGAAATGATATACGTAACGGAAAGGCGACGTGGTTAATTGCAACCGCTCAGAAATTGGCGGATACCCGCCAATTGCGACTATTGAAAGAAAATTATGGTCAAGGAAATTTAAAGTCTTTCGAAATTGTTCGAAAAATTTATGATGAATTAGATATACTGGGTCATTATAAAGCGTACAAAACTGATGAAATTGCTAAACTACATAGGGATATTGACCAAATTTCCGCTGATCCTCTCAAACAGGTTATGTATCAGTGTATCGACATATACGATGTGAGAGATCAGATCGTCTTGGATGGCGATGATCCTAAAGTTAAAACAGACTTACATACTTTTACATAAGCTAATTACACTCATTTTCACAAACAATTTTTAAATCACACACTCGGCCTTTCCAAACTATACATAAGAGTCAGTAGATATACTAGTATCAAACCTAGACCAGTTCAAGGTCGTTAGCCACCTGGTGGTCACATTTTTTATTTTACTTACATAGTCAATGTCACCATTTTTGTAATATAATTTATTATTTTCAAGGCCCCATTTTTTGTGATGTCGTATTTCATTTGCAAGGTTATTTTTTATATATAATATTCTATGGGGAAGGTCATCAGAGGTTAATTTTTTTAATGTCATATTTCAGTTTCAAGGCTATCAGAGATCATTGATCGGATTTTTACGGCGTCGCATTTCATTTCCAAAGTTATCTGAGGTCAATGACTTCATTTGTGTGGTGTCATGTTTTATTTTCAAGGTTATCAAAGTTCAATGACCTCCGTTACTTTGCGGTGCCATATTTCATTTTCAAGATTATCAGAGGGCAATGACTTCATGTTTTGAGGTGTCAAATTTTACATTCAAGATCATTTCAGGTCAATTACCCCATTTGATCGTTAAATAAATTACAGGTAAGTTCAAGTTCACTGCAATTTAAAGCGCGCCTGTCTACATTTATAATCCAATCAGTCGGCGCCTTACTTTTACTAAAGATGGATTTCTCCGATTTAAATCGTAATTCATTGTGCAAACCGTTTAAAAATCTTAGTGAACTTGAAATATCCAAAAAGTAAGTAAGTTCCAAGGTCACCGCCACGTTCCAGGCGACTTTCACATTCACGTACTTTCCAAAGTCATCACCAGGTGGCGAGCGAACTTGATCTGGTCCAGGACTCTCAATTTACTGGTGTTGTAACGGTTGTAAACCCTTGATAAAAAACGATGTAGGTCGCATTTCGATTTTATTACAGCGAATTTGACTGACGCAAATACTACGATGACGTACCTTTAAAAACTCTAGTCAAGACCACAGAAAATCTCCATTCTTCTTTCCAAGCGTCCTTTTATAAACAAGCATTCACGCGAATAATTCCCACTTCCTTTTTAAAGATGCAAATTGTGTAATACTTCTAAAACACGTGTCTTTTTCCATAAACAAGATGCACAAAGTGTTTTTTTGGGAATTAAGTGCCATGGAGATCATCGTCAGAACCAGCAATTAACAAAATTGTGTTGTCGGATTAACATGCAATTTGTTTCGGTTAGTTTTAATTTTCAAAACAATAACATGAAAATCAATAGTTGAATTATTCACAATTACATGTTTCCTTGTTGAAGAGGTGACCAAAAATGATTTTTGTTATAATGATATGTAGGCAAATTATTAATTTGTGCTATGACTTCTTGCTTGTGCGATGTTCATAGCAATGTCTTATGTCTTCATAACCCCCTCCCCCTCCAAACTCCACATATTTATGCAAGTGTAGATACATGTCGATCTGGTTGATAAGATTGTTGGATACCGATGATACAATTGACATTGCATGTGGTTCGATTTTTGAAGCTAGTCTTTTATAACACTGACATTTTAAACCGTTTCTAAGATTCACTTAAACTCGTTTTTTAAGTTATCTATAAAATTCATTGTTTCTTATCATGCACGTCGTCAATGGTAACGCCCTTTATACACTACTTAAAGTACGTTGGTTAAATTTTGTACCTAATTTTGTTGATTCTATTACCATGGTTAGGTACTACCTACGCCAGTTTTGAGAGACATTTTTCTGTCACTATAAAATATTAATAATAAAGGAATTCAGATCAAATAAGCTTCAATGTTATAAACAATCTTGAAGATAGCACGGGGTTTTATAGTTTAAAGGACTCTACCCATTAAAACCTCGCCCGCTTTGGGCGCTCGGATTCAAAATGGGCATCGTCTTTTAAAGTACTTATAAAACACCTAGTTATCTTAATAATAGCTATAGTACTTTTGTATTAAGCTCGTCAGAGCATAAAAATATGATATAACGCAAGTTAGATTAAATTGTAAAATACATGTAACGTAATAAACAGAACAAATATATGAAAATATTACAGTCAATTCAATTTACGCTAGTTCGCACGCAATCGGTAGGCTTTAAATTAAACGATATGATTAGTTAAATCTAAACAAGAGATTTAATTAAGTACAAAATAATATAGATTCACTTTAAAAACGTACGCGAGTACAGTGAACATTACTTAAATATCCCCCTAAATCGTGCTGTTACCTTATATAAACGTCCCAAAAGATGGTCGACAAGCTTATTTGATTGTTTACATCCAAAAATTAAATCTTTTCTATCTAATTGTACGGCCTGTGATAAATATAAAAATCAGTAATTGGTATTTAAAATCGATTTAATCGGGTGCACTTTTCTGCAACTCATTTAATTAGCTACTGTTAATTACACTTACTTCATTTTCCGAGTTAAAATTTCAAAATTCGGTGGTCCCGTAATGCCTATTGTTGCTTAGAATTTCGAGTCAATCGCAATAGATGTCTGTTACCTACGTAAACTGCACGCGACTTTGCTTGCTTTTAATGCTGGTTTTGAACGAACATAGAGAAACTATAATCGCTTATAAATGGATGACGAGAACTGAACTCATACAGGGTGACCATTTGAAAACGAAACAGAGCCTATTTTGGGAACCTCAAAACATTTACGAAAAAATCCTCGGACCCGTCAATTTTTGATTCAAGGGGGAACCGTTCTTTTGCTAGTTTCGCCCCCCTAAGCGCAAAACCCTAGCGGGGGTGACGATCGCCCCCAAAATTTTAAATCGAATGGGGGGTCGAGTAATACCTTATTTTGAAGGTATTTGTATGTGGATTATAATCTTTGAGTTTTAAATCGCTACTAATGTGCCTAGCCGATACAGGGGCTAAAAAAGTTACAAAAACGTGTCAACATTTTCTTATGAAAAAAATGCTTGTAAATGAATTAGTTAAATAACAAGAATTAATACAACAATAAATACAAAAAATGTTGTTCTCCTACATTCTGAACCGTACTTTTTTTGTTGTTTTTTTTTTTCTTTTTAATACCTGTAGGTGGCTATGCCAATTCTGCAACGGAAATCTTGGTTATTGTTGAGAGCGTTACTATTGCAACATTTTGAAGTTTAATAGTGCTTGTCAATTTTTGTCAAATCACAGTAGTGACAAATAGCACTTTAAAGCTATTTAGTTGCAAAATCGGTACATTGAACAGTGATAATGGTTTATTCCTGGAGTTATTAGAAAATTCGGTTCATCCAGCATTAGTGGAGATACTAGAAAATAACGAGTACTTGGAAAATCGTCTAGTATTTCAGCAAGATGGTGCGCCACCCCACTATGCTGCAAGAGTTCGTCAATATTTGGACCAAACGTTTCCAGCACAATGGATTCGAAGAAGAGGCCTCCTCGTTCCCTAGACTTAAGTCCGTTAGATTTTTTTTATGGGGACATTTAAAAACTAAAATTTATGCTAGTCAGCCAACTTCGCTAGAGAACTTGCGACAAAGAATAATTGATGAATGTCGTCAAATCACCCCAGAAGTTTTGCAAAATGTACGGGAACAAAACCTGTATTATTGTATGGAAGTCCGAGGCCAACATTTTCAACATTTACTTGATTGATTTTAGCTTTAAGCACTTAAAATAAAACTGATTTCAATCTTAAGAGTTATGATCTACATAAAAATACTTTCAAAATAAGGTATTACTCGACCCCCCATTCGATTTAAAATTTTGGGGGCACTTGTCACCCCTCCTATGGCTTTGCCCCCAGGGGGGCGAAACTAGCAAAAAAATGGTTCCCCCTTGGATCAAAAATTGACGGGTCCGAGGATTTTTTCGTAAATGTTTTGAGGTCCCCAAAATAGGCTCTGTTTCGATTTAAAATTTTGGGGGCACTTGTCACCCCTCCTATGGCTTTGCCCCCAGGGGGCGAAACTATCAAAAAAATGGTTCCCCCTTGGATCAAAAATTGACGGGTCCGAGGATTTTTTCGTAAATGTTTTGAGGTCCCCAAAATAGGCTCTGTTTCGTTTTCAAATGGCCCTGTATATATAATAATAGTTTCTTCCCTGCTTCCCCATGCCGAGGGCTGTCAGATGCTAAAATAATAATTTACATATCGGAAACAATATTATAAATCTGATCAATTATATACGATAACTACAAATTAAATCATTACTTTTACCTTCTATTTCACACTCCTAAAAAAAATAAATAAATCTCCAACGAGCTGGAAGCTACGGTTTCCTAGTAACGAAGCGCCCAATCATTCAAAATTCAACTTGAGTACCTCTAATTAATACGTAGGTATATTGAAATTATAATGGCCTAACCATGGGAGCTATTGGTCCGAGTCGCTCTCAAGCGTCATATGGTACTGTGGGTTATGTAGATCAAGTCTCTAAAGTTTTAGTTATTATTATTACCCGCCATGGGCATTTCTGCCTGCGCCTCTAACAATGGCAATTAATGAGAACTTTCCTACATCATGGATCTGACACTTAAAATTCTAGCTTCAACATTTCAACTCTGCCAAGACAAAATCCGTTTTTCAATGTGGCCGAGAATGGAATGACTTTTACCACTGAACATGATGCGTTCATATTAATGGCGCACTATCGTAGCGCAACACGGTATACATGGTCATATTCCACCAGGTCCTGCTTACAGCAATTTAACGAAGAATATCCCGACCACCACTTCAGTTATAAAACCTTCGTTAGTCATAAGCACCGAATTATCGAACGTTTTGAGAATAAGAAATGCATTTGTAAGGCCAAACCAGCAGGTCGTCCGTCAATTCGAAGTGTGGAAGTGATCGAAGATGTACGGCAACGTATCGAGTAAAGCCCAAGAAATCAATTCGCAAACTATCGAATCAGACTGGTAGGTGGAACTTAATAGAATAACTATAACATATTAGTTATTTGTTATCATTACAGGCTTCTCTTATGGGACGTGCCACAAAATTTTGCACAAAGATCTCGAAATGTTTCCCTATAAAGTTTCGGTTGTCTAACAACTACATGCACGAGATTACGAAAGTAGACGCAACTATTGTCGCTGGTTTAATAATCATTTAAACACCAACGAAGTTTTAAATCTAACTTTTATGAGTGATGAAGTGTGGGTCCATTTATCAGGATATGTTAACAGTCTTAACTATCGGATTTGGGTAACCAAAAACCCCCATAATTTTGAAGATACCAGCTTGCATCATTTGAAGATTGGTATTTGGATTGGCATGTCTAGGAGACGTATCATAGGTCCAATTTTTTTCAACGATACCGTTACTGCAGAAAGGTACCATACTGAAATACTGGATACGTTCCTGAACCAACTTCATGATAACGAACTGAGAGAAGAATATTTCCAGCAAGATGGTGCATCAGCGCATACAGCAAACGTCACTCTTCAGTACCTACAACAATTTTGCCATGATCGTTTAATCAGTAGAGGTTTATGGCTCTTGAGGAACTTCAAAATGAAATCGTAGAAGAGGTAATGAACATCATACCGGCAATGTTAGAACGTGTATTTGAAAACATGATGGTGGTCATTTTCAACAATCATTGTGTTGAAGTGCTTAATTGTAAACTTATTAGTGTTTAATTAATTAATTGAGATTATTTTTAGTTGCCCATTAAATTGATCTGCCACTGCTTTTAAATAAATGACATTTGGCGTATTACCAACTTTAAAAATTTTTTGTTTTGCCGGAAATTCAAACTGTCCGCACGATCACCCGGTATACCTGTTTTCGCTTTTTTATAGTTTAAAACAGTCCCACTCAAAACTGTTATTCTATAACAAGAGTATTATGACTGAGGAAGATGACACTGTAAAGTAATAATTTTTCCGTCTATCTCTTTATCTTTAGTATTTACGTACATTTTTAACCAATTATAACGTTGAGTGAACCTTCACTCAACTCAACGGTATTAGGTAATCGTAGTGTCACTTCATTCATACCAAAAACGATGCACATAGGAATTATAAGGAGTTCAGAAGCAATACGTTACATAAATTAAAAAGGTATTTGAAGAAACTTTACACACCAAAAGCTCCTTAGATCGTATATAAACTAACATCGAGTAAATGTGTAATGTAAAGAACCGCTGCAAGGACTGAAAGAGGCAAATCATCACGTTTTCTCAGTGTGATGGATTTCTCTAATCACGTTTTAACACGAAGGATCTTCTGCGGGATTTCGTGCGTCTGGCAGACCGACGGTGACCTGCGATGACCTCGACGGTAAGACGCACCACCCCGCACCGCGACGCGCTCCGCCGCGTCAGGCGGTCCTTAAACTCGTAACGCGGTAGACATCCACCCAACAGGCCGTTCACCCACCCGCCACCTACAACCCAATTGTCACTATTGCGTAGAAAAACAATTAAGAGATTTACGTATTGTTTATATCTTAATAACAATGAAAAGACCACTAATTACACTGACGTGCTCGAATTCTAAAACTGAAATTCAAAAGCACTACTGAACGCGGAAGACAGTATGTACATCGCAACCCTTCACCAGCGCAAAACTTAAATTCCGAAGGATTCCCATACAAAGAACCTTTATTGATTAATAGTTGAGTTTTCTATGAAAGATCAGGTGTCAATTGCTAATCGTGACGGCATTTTTTTCTTACCTACAAAAGGTATTGATTTGTATGCGTCATGATAAATAAAAACAAAGCAGGAGCGTTCTATATAATAGCATAGTGTACTTTACACTAAGATAATAGTTATCATATGCCAAGGGTATTCCCTACATGAGCAACTTGACTTAATGATAGTTTCCCTTTGAGGAATGTAAGAAATTTCTTATAGGTACCTACATATTGACATATTATACGTAATAATATTTCACTGTACCTATTTTTTTTTATAGATGTTTATCAATGTGCATGTAAATTTACTAAGTCAACACAACACAGCCTACTGCCTACTGCCTAGACCTAGACATTACACATACGCTCAGCTGTGATTCTCACCAGCTCACTATTCTAGATCTATGCAGTGTAACTACAGGTTTCATTAGTTTTATTATATTATAAAAGTAACCTAAGATAAAATGAACAATTAGGTAAAGGCGAACAAAGAAAATAAGATTCTATTTTTGTTCATACCTAAAATGATTCAATTGAGTTTATCCAAACAAAGATAAACTATTTTTAACATATTTGGAATCACGTCATGAGAAAACCTTGCCTTTTTAATAGACTGTTATGCTTTCAATAGCACGAGATGTAATTTTCCATCGTTTTTTTCTGCTGCTTTTTGGAAGCCGTATTGATTATATTCGCCGGGCAGACGCGTCTGCGAAATTTCAGAGGCTTAAAACACCCTCATTCATACCACCAAACGTCTAGGACGCACCAGCCAGACGAATCTATCGACCCACCCCGGACCTACCGCACTCTGCCCCACTGTAACTCATCGACCAAAACCATCACGCACATCCGGAAGAAGATGCAGACGCCGTCTGCGCCGTCGCCACGAAATGTTTAGGAAATGCGCTCAAAAATCGACGTCTTTGAGGCCGTAATTTACGCAATATATTATTGAGTGAAACATGGACTAAGGGTTTTTTTTAGTCTATGAGTGAAGCCTTTGAATTTATTGTTAAGCATGCAAGTAATTTACGACAATAAGTTCATTATCCCATACTTTATTCACAAAAAATCGGATGATTAATAAATTTGTGTCTGAGGTTTATAACCTGTTCGTAAAGTACAGCAAATAAAATTTTTTCCAGAACTGCGGGAATTATGGAACCTTTCCTAAGCAAGATCGTTTATTCTGGATCGTATTATTGTGGCGCCCTCTAGTTTAACTATAGTGCAGTACTTATTCTAAGAAAGATATCTGTAAATTCAATTCGCGTTTTTGTC